AAGAAACTCTCGACAAATATCAGAAAAGACTCCGAGAGGCATCCAAGAGGCCTATGCCCTTTCTGCTCGCCCTCCCCTTCGTCCTCCTCCTCCTCCTCCTCCTCCTTCTCCTCTCCCTCCTCCTCTTCGTCATCTGCCTGCTCCTTCCTCCTCCTTCCTCGTCCCGCCTCCCCCTCCCCCTCTCCATCCTCCTCCTCCTCCTCCTCCTCCTCCTCCTCCTCCTCCTCCTCCTCCTCCTCCTCCTCCTCCTCTTGCTCCTCCTCCTCCTCCTCCTCCTCCTCATCCTCCTCCTCCTCCTCCTCCTCCGATTACTCCTCCATCCTCCCTCTCTTGGGGCACGGCGTCTTACCCAATATTTCATGCCACTGTAGTATACTCCGCATCCCTGATCAGGGCAAGTCGGCTGGGCATCGTTTCTGGATGGACAGGTGTGCATAGGCGAAGCGGCCATGAGTCTAAAAAACCTCTCGTGCTAGATCGAGGAGTCATACTCTTGTCTTGGATTGCGTAATTCGCCCAGACTGAGCCCATGATTCGGCGGCCCGTTAGTAAACCTCCCTTTAGTGAAAACGGCCTGGGACCGAAACCGACGGACCTGGACCCGCAAAAATGACGACCGCGACGCCCTCTCGCGAACCGAAAACGGCCAATTCGCTAATCGACGTGTCAGGGTAGGAGGTCTGTCCACCCCCGAATGATTGAGCCGAACTGGGCCCGATTGGTTCCATACTTCTGGCGGGTGTTTGTCTCAATGCCGATGCTTGTCCTTCGCGTCGGCCTTCGGGGTCCGTTTTCGAGCCCAGGGGCCCTCAAGAGGGGGTCGGGAGCGAAATGCTGCCCCTGGAAGGGGTCGAGGACTCTGGCGCCGCGCATTTTTTGGGGAAAAACGCAGGGGTCTGCTGTCGCGGTGTCGACAAACGAAGTTCGACCATCGTGATTCGAGGGCGTTTCGTTGCCATGTCTGTGAAGGGGCCCTGGGACACACAAATAAATACACACAATTAAGAGGATTCCCCATATTTTCTTATATGTTCTGGGTTTTTGTCTTCCCCCCCACTTCCCATATTTTCCTGGGGATCGACGATTAATTGTGTCTGTGTGTCTCTTTCCCTCCTGAGTCTGGGCCTCGCGGAGGCTTCTCGTCGCCACGGCTGGATTGCTGTCGACGAGTTGGAGCTTCTGCTCTGCAGGAGCTCGTGCCCAGGCCCCCTCCCCTCGTGACAGAATCACGGCAAGAAGCTGTCCGCACCGACCCCGGGGAGGTGTTCGATGAGAAGCTGCCTCCTCCTCCTCCTCCTCCTCCTCCTCCTCCTGGATGAGAAGCTGGCCCCAGGGAGGTGTTCGAGACCTCCGGGGGTCCATGCTGTGAAAGAGAAGCGCTTTCGAGGGCCTGGGGGGAGGGGCAAGGAGAGGGGGGGAGTGCGCGAGCGAGGGAGAGAGAAACGACACCCGCCGACCCCCGGTAATGCGGGATGACGATTACTAAAAAAAGGGAGAGAACCATTAAAAAACATAGTTTTCTGCTATTTCTGTACAACTTTCTGACTGGAGGAGAACGATTTAGAACATAGTTTTCCAGCCCGCGGCCGGCTTTTTCTAATCGTCATCCCGGGCGCCGCCGCGTGAACACGACCCCTGGTCATTTATTAATCGTCATCATCCGTTAGCCAGGGGTGAACAGGCATGTGGAACATTTGGCTGTCCTCATCCCCTTTTTGCTCTAGCAGGCCGCGGAGACAATGCTCGTGGCGTCCGTGTGGGCGGGCTACCGCCCGCCTGCCTCGTCGCACACGAAGGGGCCGCAGAGTGGTGGCAAAGAGAGCGCGCCTCCACCGCGGCCAGCATCACGTTCTCCCCGCCCCGTATCTCAAGCCTCGCAATCTCTCCCCTCCCCCTTTCCTTTTCGCCTGGGTTCCAACATGCAACTTGTAACGGGGGGGGGGGGGGCACGCCTTTCCCGGGCCTCCGGGCCTTCCCAAAGAGCCCCCAATACGGCCCTGACGCGCCCAAACAGAGCGCCAAGACCTCTCAAGAGAGCGTCGAGACAGCCAAGGTAGCCCCTCGACGGTCCAAGATGGCTCCAGACAGCCCACGGAGCCCCCAAAACGACACAAGAACGCTCCCAGAGGACCGCCGAGAGGGCCCCAAGAGGCACACATCGCCCCATTCCCCAAAGGAAAACTACCTATACGACCACCCTGCGGGTGATAAGGAGGTGAGGGGGGAGGGGGAACCAACGTCTCACTCAATCGATCTCGCTATCGATCTCACATTCGATCTCATTATCGATATCACTATCGATCTCGCTATCGATCTCACTATCGATCTCACAATCGATCTCACAATCGATCTCACATTCGGTCTCACATTCGGTCTCACTGTCGATCTCACTATCGATCTCACAATCGATCTCACAGTCGATCTCACATTCGGTCTCACATTCGGTCTCACTATCGATCTCACTATCGATCTCACAATCGATCTCACTATCGATCTCACATTCGGTTTCACATTCGGTCTCACAGTCGATCTCACAATCGATCTCACTATCGATCTCACAATCGATCTCACATTCGGTCTCACTATCGATATCACAATCGATCTCACAATCGATCATCGCCATCAACATCATCATCATCATCATCATCATCATCATCATCATCACCATCATCACCATCATCATCATCATCCACATCATCATCGGGACACCGACGGGACACCGACGGGACACCAACGGGACACCGGCGGGACACCGCGGGGCCCCGGCCGCCCGGAAGGGAATCATTTGGTCCGGCCGCTCCTCAGCCACACGGGACACCAGCGGGACACCGGCGGGACACCGCGGGGCCCCGGCTGCCCGGAAGGGAATCATTTGGTCCGGCCGCGCCTCAGCCACAGGAGACTTTCTCTCGTCCGCCCACGCAGCTTCGCCTCGCCCGCACGGCACGCACGAACACGAAACCGAAATCGATTTCCCGGTAGGGGGGCTCTCCGTTCCACTTCGATCTCACCCCCTCACCTCTGATATTTTAGCAGACTCACCTTCTTCAGCTCCAAGATGGCCGCAGGGCCCCCCAAGACGACGCAAGAGAGCCCCAAGAGGGCCCGAAGAGGGGCCAAAGCGGTGGGATACGAACTGACATTTCGAGCCTTTCTTCCCAAGATGCCCCCAAGAGCCCCCCCGACGCCCACGAGGCGCCCACGAGGGGCCCCAAGAGGCCTCCAAAGGGCCCCAAAGAAGCCCGCAAGAGGCCCCCAAGAGGGCCCCTGAGAGGCATCCCGCGAGCCCCTCCGATGCATCCAAGACGCTCCTGACCCACTGGAAAACTTCCAAGGTCGTCGCAAGCACTCGCTCCTTCTGGGGGGTCGGCGGAATGGCGTAAGACACTTGAACTAGAGACAGGCAGACAAAGAGACAACAGACAGAAAGCAAAAGAAAAAGAGAGAGAGAGAGAGAGAGAGGAGGGAGACAGGGGAAAGGATATGTAATGGAGAGGGGGTGGGAGAGAGTGGAGCCGGCGGGCATCCCACCAGCCCTTCTCTCCCCCCTCCCCCCTTCTGCCCTCTCTCTTTCTCTCTCTCTCTCTCTCTCTCTCTCTCTCTTTCTCTCTCTTTATCTCCTCTGCTGCGCCAGGCCGTCCCATGATGGGACACCCTGGCGCGGTTCGGGACAGTCTGAGCAGAAAACGCCAGGCCCTGTCGAACGCATCTCTGGAGGCCAGATGATGTCAAGGAGCTTCTCGCGTGGCCATAAACGCGGGGCCAGGGGAGACAGAGGAGGAAGAGGGTAAGGGGTAAGGCGAGCGACGAGGATTGTGGGGGAGGAAAGAGGGCAATGAGGAGGGAGGAGCGGGAAGAGGGGGTGAGAAATGAACCCGACGTCGGTCGACGACAGCGAGCGACGGGGACTGCAACGACAACGAACGGCAATGACGACGGCGGACTACGACGACCAACGATGACGAAGACGAGCGAAAACCAACAACAGCGAATAACGACAGCGGAGAGTGACAACGACAACGACTAACACGACGAAGGTGAGGGCGGCGGCAGCGACGTCCGACCCCGACCTTGCCAACGACCCAATCAAATATCTGGAGATTTCTGGGTTTTTTTTTCGATGTGCCTGGAAGCGTCCGCAGGCCCGAACACAAACAGAAGCCTCAATTTTCTAACCTCCAACGACGACGGCAATATTACACCACCGACGACGACAACGATGCCGACGGACTTTCGGGGCGGACGAAAGGAGCGGTTGGCGAATCATCTGCACGCAGCTGGATGTTTCGGCGCCTCCTGGTGATGGAGGTGGCCATGCGTAGAAGAAAACCTGCGGCGGCGCCGAAACCCGGACATCCGGTGTCTCGACTTTGCCATAGTGGGGCCCCTGGAAGCCCCGACCCTGTCCTCAAGGCCCGCTTTTCATCATGCTTTTTCCATCCCGACGGTCCTGAGGCCTGGTGAAGCCTCCCACAGGCAGAAAACTGTGAAACACTTCGGCGCTCATTTTTTGAAGACGTCGGAGGTCTGGGAACCGGCCGCATGCAGCAGATGTCGTGCCCCCCTCATTTTGGGTCGAGTCTCATGCAAAAAGAAAATGGGGCTACGCGTTTCGCCCCTAGCTAGACATAGATGAGCGGCATCGCTGCTGATGACCCCTCCCTTGTGGCGGCGGCTGTGAAGGCGTCGATCTGGAAACGCGCATCGACACCGGCGCACTGTTGCTGCTGTGGTGGCTGCTGCGGTAGCGGGCACTTTGATGTCTGCGGCTGTGCAGCATTCTGCGCCCGCGACTCTGCGCAAGGAGCGAGCTCAGGATGCACATGGCCAAACTGAAGACTCCGATGATCCTGTCCGATTGTTTGAGAAAGTTCGAGCTGAACGCCGAACCCAGCATTTCCGCAAGAAGGAAAAGCGCCCGACGGCCAAGCAGACCATGACGGCCACAGATGGTCCAGCCTGTCCTCTTCTTCCTGATAGCCTTCAGCCTCGCGTTGAGGTCATTCCACATCTAGCAGGTGCAGCCAGCCAAAGCGCAGACCTCGGGGGAAGTCTTGCTGCAGAGCCCACTCTGGCACCAGCTCTACGTTTGGACCGCTCTCGTTCAACCCCGCATCCCGGACGTACCCGCTCTGATCAACACGCCGCCAGTTCAGCTCCGCTTTCCTTGGCGAGCACACTGCGACGAGCTGAAACAGCAGATTCGGCGAGTTCTGGCCGCACTCTGGAGAGATCTCTTGCAGCGTCATCTGTTCCAGCCCCAGATCATTAACAATCTCGGGCGGATCCGAAGGGCGCTTCGGCAAGGAAATCGTCCTTTTGGCCATGGTTAAGGCGCCGGCCGCTTAAACCCAGCCAGCCTAAACCTTACACGGGACATGAAGGAATAGCCTGCTTATTTTTCTGTTCGTGCAGTAGCCATCCATGCTGCCGCTTCCTTACGTGTTCGCGTATCCAGTTGGGTGGCTGCATACGTCGAGAATTATGCGCAGTTCTGGTGGAATGTGCTACATGTTCTTGAAGCAGTACATCTTCTGAAGGCTTTTTCTGCCTTCTGTGGCTCCGCACTCTGAATGTGATCCCCTCTTAGGCAGCGGTCGGCTGCAATATGCCTCACTGATATGTTTTCCAAAGGTCAGGCAAACCCTGACTATATCCATACACGCGGTTCGCCCCCCAGGGGCTCTTCGGGCCATCCTGCCTACGGTGCAACATCGAACGAACATCGTCGACGATGGGACCCAAGGCGGAGCGGAGAGATGCAGTCTACAGTCAGGGTTTAACGAACCCTGCCACCCTGCCTGTCTATCGATGGCGAGAGGGGGGTGCGAAATCTGCTGCACGCAGCAAATGTCGCACGCTCTCCTCTCCCCATCCGCAGTGACACGGGCGCCAGGTTTTTCGAACTCATTCCAAACCATTATTTTACATGCCAGCCAAGTTGCAGAGTCTCCGTGCTGTCTCTCGCCAGAGTCGCCGTCTCCCCGGCCGCAGCCTAATCGGGGGGTCAGCCTGAGCCCGCCTAGGAGGATGTCACTACTGAACTGCACCTAGCGATGGAGGAAAGCCCTATTCGAAGAGTCCCCCCCGCCCCTCTCGTCTTCCAAAAGCGCGGCAGGAGCGCGCGCCTTCTGCCGCCGAGCGAAGCAGCTGTTGACCTCTTGCGGGCGGGGGCGGGGGGAGGGGGGGGGGCGAGGACAGTCCCAGCGCTGAACCCCCTGGCGGCGCCTCCGGCGCCGCCCCTGGCGCGCTCCTCGCGCCAGGGAGGGCGGTCCAGCGCCGATCCGAGAAAAATCCGCGCAGACCTCCGAGTGGTTATGTTCATGTCATTCTTCGTTTCCCCAACTCCGGTTCTGGTTCTGCGGGGCCTATGAAGGCTGGAGGGCACCACTGAGGCGCCAAAGCCCGAGGCCACCTCTGGGCCGAAGCCAGAGGGCCTACGAGGGGCGTCCCCGTACAGAGCAAAGCTCCAGGAGGCAAAAAGAACCCCGAGGCCCAGAGGCGGAGCACCTTGGCCCCAAGGGGAACCCAACCTCGCCCCAGGCCCCCTCGGTCTGCCGCCCGCCGAGCGACCTGGGGGGGAGGGGGGAGGGGGTGCGCACGCGCCGACCCCCCCCGCCGATCGTACAATCGGGGCCCTGAAGAAGGAACCCTTTTCGTTGGGGAGGGGCTCCGTGTTCCTTAATTGTTTCGCAGCTTGCCTTGGATTTTCCTTCGGCTTTCGATACGAAATCGAAGTTCAACTTATGGAAAATAGGGGCTTCGTTCCTTATTTAGGGTTTCTTAGGTCAACGCCTCGACTGTAGACACACTCCGCGCGCATCGGAAGAATACAAGCTGCGCGGACGTCCTGCACGGCGGGCGCTCTGGGTGGAATCGGGAGCCATGCGCAGGTGCATTCCTCCAGGCCGCGGGCGTTTACACTTCAGACTCACAGGACGACTGCAGAAATGCGTGGTGCACGCTCGCTACATGGTTTCGAATCCTCTAAACAGTTCTCGAAACCTTTCAGACCCAACATTCCTCCGCTGATCGAACGTATGAATTTTGCACGTTGACACAGCGTGGGACAATTCTGACGAGCCTGCGAACATCCCAGAAGTCACCAAAGGAAGCGCACGAAAAGGCACGCGTGCCGAGGCACCGCGGCAAGGACCACCAATGAATTGCTTCGTCGTCGCAAACAACATTCAAATCCGCCGACCCCTTGTGGGTCTCTAAGCGTGTGAGATTGTTGCCCCCGTAATCCCCCCCAAGGAACCGAAACCGGGAATTCGACCCCCCCTCCCCGACCCGACCCGAACGCGGCATGCGGGGATAGAGGTCTCCCCGACGACCCAAGAGAGCCCCCAAAACGCACCCAACGTGGTCCAAGGTCCCGAATCGCCAAAAGATCTTTTCGAGACGCCTGAGATGGCCACTAGAAGGTTCAGTATGCTCCCAAGGTCCAAGACGCGCCAAAAAGCTTCCAAGAGGCCACCAAGACGGCTCCAAGAGCCAGAAATCGTCCAATTCCCTTTTGGGAAAACGTGCAAGTTTACCACACACGGCTTTAAGCCTTCGCGGCGTTGACGCCAGTCCACAGGCCCCCAAGACCGCCCCAAGAGGCTTTCAAGAGAACCCCAACACGGCCCAAGAGGGCCCCAACACAGCCCAAGAGGCGTCCAAGACGGCCCGAGAAAGCCTCCAAATAGCCCCAAGAAGGCCACAACACAGGGAGCCCGAACCGACAATTCAAGCTTTCCGCCCCCAGATGGACCTAGGAGGCCACAATAAGCCCCCCCAAATGGCTCCAAGAGCCAAACATCGCCCAATTCCCTTTTCGGAGATAGCATCAATTTACCACACACGAGTTTAAGCCTTCACGGCGTTGCCGCCGGCACGCAGGCCCTCGAAGCCGTCCCAAACAGGATTAAAAACAGCCCAAAAGGCGCCCAAGACGGGACAACAAAAAACTCCAAGACAACCCCAAGAAGGGCCCAACAGCGGGAGCCCGAACCGACAATTCGAGCTTCCACCCCACGACGCACCCAGGAGGCCTCCAGAGGCCCCCCAAGATGGTTCCAATAACCAGAGATCTTCCATTTCCCGTTTTGGAAACATGTACAATTTCACCATGCACGGTTTTTGGCCTTCACGGCGTTGGCGCCGGTCCACTGGGCCATCTCAACCGCCCCAGGAAGTTCTCAAGAGAGCCCCAACACAACCCAAAAGGGCCCCAACACAGCCCAAGAGGCGCCCAAAACGGACCAAACAAAACCCAAAAACAGCCCCCAAAAAGGCCCAACAGCGGGAGCCGGTAATGCGGCCAAAGCCGGAAACGCGAGATCTTCGGCAGAGCCGCCACGGTGAAGGCGAAGCCGGTCAAGATTATCGTCACGGTTTTCCCGGCGAAGGCGTTCATGGACAGGCTCTTCTGAGGGCCCCCCGGCCTGTGGCGAATCCTTCCAAAACACCGTTTCTGTTACGTCGACCTTGGGCCGTCTTGCACGGTTTCAAGACGACGACAGCGGGAGCCCGAACCGACAATTCAAGCTTCCTTTCCAAGATGTACCCAGGAAGCCTCAGAGGGCCCTCCAAAAGGCTCCAACCTGCGCCTAAGAGGCCCCCGCGACCTGCCAAGTGGCCACGAAACTAGCCCCAAAGGCGTCAACGCTGCATCCAAGAGGCTCCTGGCAGACCTTCACAAATGGTCCTCGAGAAGTGAGCGAGAGGAGAAGAAAACCCTAAGAAGCTGCTCTGGATACCCGCACCCAAAACTCAGACACGGTGGCTGGGTTGGCCGACGGCTGTTGGATATTTCGCGGCGTGGGATCCCGCACCACGCCTTCTCCCCCTCCTCATCCTCCTCATTTTGCTTCCTCCTCTTCTTGCTCCTCCTTCTGCCCCGTTTTCCTCCTCCTCCTCCTCCTCCTCCTCCTCCTCCTCCTCCTCCTCCTCCTCCTCCCCCTTGTCGCACTCTCCTCCTCATAATCGTCGCCCTCCTTCTTGCTCTCCTCCCACGTACTTCGGCTCGTGTGGCGCCGTGGCCGAGTCCATCTCCAAATTGGCCACTCGAGCAGGCATCACTTGCATGCCTTGCGTTTCAGGGTGCAGTTTTTCTTTATCTCGGCGCGCGCGGCGCAGTCAGCCCTCGAGGCGAATGGTGAATTCGGCAATTTCTGCTGGCACGTGCCACTGCGCTGAAAGCCTGCCAATACGCGTTGTGAGAGCAAGGTGCGTGCAATCCGCGCAGGCCACGCGTTTCTGTTTCATGTTTCGATGCGGTTCCACTTGTCCCTCCTTTCGGTGGCTCGCGTCCGAAGAACCTTCCCCGCACACCGCGCACATAAGCGGTTTCGCTTCCGCCTGTGCTTTCCGCTTGCGATTGTTCGCCTCTCGAATAAACTTGTCGCGCTCCGCGGCCTTTCTGGCGCAGCCGATCCCCCGCTGAGGCATGCTTCTTTGGGTTTCCGACATATCCGCCATCTCTTGGAAAAGAATCAGGCGCCTGCAATTCACGCGCCGCGCTGTGTGAACGCTCCCTGCTTCCATTTTGCGCTCTTGCAGCGCGAGTTCTGCCGCGCTTTGACATGGCTGCATTTCGCGTGATACATGGTCCGGATCGTCCTAGACCCCACCGCGTCGCCGACTTCTCCGTCGACCCCATCGCCGACGTGACGCATCGGCCCATCCCCTCCACTTTCGTTGGCCATCCTCTGCAAGTTTTGCACCACTTCTCGTCCGCGCCCTTCATCTCCGCCGCGCAGTCCTCAAGACGCCGGCCTCTCCTCCCTTTGGAACTCGCACTTACATCGCGCGCGCTTCTACGGGCAGCCTTCGCCCGCTCGCGCTGGCCCCGCGGCGTCACTACTCCCACGCCCCGAGCGCCCTACCTAACCCACGCCCTCCTCGGATTATGTGCAACCGCTTCTTCGCGCCAACCATCTCGCGCGCGTTGCGCGGCCCCCTTATCAAGGGGCAGATGGATCAATGAGTTCCCCGCCTTCGCACGCGCGCCGCGGCAACGTGACTCGCCCTCCAACTCGCGCCGCCTTCCCATTTCAGGGCCCGCCATCACTGCGCGCGCCGTAACTGCCAACGACGGAATGATCATGAACTGCGCGCGTTCTACACCCAGCGCAGGAGGCTTTCGATGCTCGCCCAAGAACCACTGACGCCCCTTTAGATGGAAATATTGAATGCAGCCCCAGCTCCCTGCCTGAGAGATGCCAATCCTGCGCGCAAGAATCCAATCCAGCCCAATGACTCTCGGCAAATGCACGGAAGCCGTCCCCGTGCAAACCCTGAATCGTTGCTGCGCGCCCCCGCAGAAGCTGTTCTTCGA